TCCACCTGAAGTGGGTGGATCATCTGAGCTCAGTTTAAGACCACCCTGAGCAAAAGTAAGACTCCATCTGTACTAAAAAAATAGAAAAACTAGCCAGGCATTGTGGTAGGCACCTGTAGTCCTTAGCTACTCAGGAGGCTGAGGCAAGAGGATTGCTTGAGCTCAAGAGTTTGAGGTGGCTGTGAGCTATGATGATGCCATGTCCCTCCACACAGGGTGACAGAGTGAGACTCTGTCTCAAAAATAAATAAATAAATAAATTTGGGGGACACATTTGAACCATAGCAGTGGTCATTTGCCACATGTGGATATGGAGCACTTCAAGTGTGGCTAGTGTCATTGTACAGAATTTTTTTTTTTTTTGAGACAGAGCCTCAAGCTGTCATCCTGGGTAGAGTGCTATGGCATCACAGCTCATGACAACCTCCAACTCCTGGGCTTAAGAGATTCTCTTGCCTCAGCCTCCCAAGTAGCTGGGACTACCAGTGCCCACAACATCGCCCAGCTATTTTTTTGGTTGCAGTTGTCATTGTTGTTTGGTGGGCCCAGGCTGGATTCGAATCTGCCAGCTCTGGTGTATGTGGCTAGCACCTGAGCCACTTGAGCTACAGGTGCCGAGCCTGTACAGGATTTTTTATTTCATTGAATTTTACTTCTAAGACTGAAGCAGGCAAAATTTTTTTCTGTTAAATACAATTCAATTGCTTTGGTGGGATTGTATTTTACTTCAATCATTGGCAATTTAGCTTCCAAGCTCATTTGTGCCCAAACTAAGCATAAAATACACACCAGATTTTGAATACATTTGTATGAATAAACATTTAAAAAATATTATCAATATTTTTTATGAATAGGTGCCCTGTTCCTGGAAGTACTGCATACCAGGTTGATATGTGGAGTGAAAGGGGCAAGCTCCTACTCCAACTCCCTGCTCCCCAAATCCATTTACTATGTTTCCTCGGAGAGAGGACATAACTGATAAGAACAGATACTACACATGATTTTAGCCAAAGGCTGAGAAGTGATCATCAATAATTTCTGTTTTTTTTCTTTGAGGCAGTCTCACTATGTCGCTATTGGTAAAGTACTACGGCATCACAGCTCACAGCAACCTCCAACTCTTGGGCTTAAGCAATTCTCTTGCCTTAGCCTCCCAAGTAGCTGGGACTACAGGCGTCCACCACAACGCACAGCTATAGTTGGTTGCAGTTGTCATTGTTTAGCAGGCCAGGCCGGGCTCGAACCCGCCAGCCTCAGTGTATGTGGCTGGTGCCCTACTCACTGAGCTATGGGCAAGCCAATAATTTGTATATTGATTATCAATCAAGATAATAAAATGCTGAGTATTTTGGATTAAATAGAATAAATTATTAAAATTAACTTACTTTACCAGTTTCTTTTTACTTTTTCTCAACTGCAACTGTAAAAAAATTCTTTTTGGAAACAGAGACTCATTCTGTTGTCCGGGCTAGAGTGGTTCACAGCAACCTCAAACTCCAGAGTTGAAACTATCCTGCTGTCTCAGCCTCCTAAGTAACTAGGACTACAGGCACCTGCTACAATGCTATGCTAAGTTTTCTATTTTTTTTTTTTTTGAGACAGAGCCTCAAGCTTTCCCCTGGGTAGAGTACCATGGCATTACAGCTCACAGCAACCTCCAACTCCTGGGCTCAAGCGAGTCTCTTGCCTCCGCCTCCCAAGTAGCTGGGACCACAGGCGCCCGCCACAACGCCCGGCTATTTTTTGGTTGCAGCCGTCATTGTTGTTTGGCGGGTCTGGGCTGGGGATTCGAACCCGCCACCTTAGGTGTACGTGGCTGGCGCCTTAGCCGGTTGAGCTATAGGTGCCGAGCCTAAGTTTTCTATTTTTAGTAGAGATGGGATCTCAGTCTTGCTCAGGCTAGTCTAGATCGTTTGAGCTCAAGTGATCCTATTACTTTGGCCTCCCAGAGTGCTAGGATCACAGGCCCAAGCCACTGTGCCTGGCCTAAAAAATTTTGAATTACATATGTGGCTCACATTATGTTTCTATTGAAAAGTCCTGGTCTAAAGAATTGGTATTTGATAACTGCAAACATGACAAGGTCCCCAAATTAGGGGGTTATGCCCAGGTGCCATTCCTTAACCATACCCACAAGTCCACGTGGAGGATGCTACGTTGCAAAGATTGTAAAATGTCCCAGGGCAGCTTAGGCACTGGAATCAGCTGCCCCAGGTTCAAATCTCAAATCTGCCTCATACAACAAGGTGAGTGGGCATGGGTGAGTCCCCTTACCTTGACTCTTCTTGCCTATAGAATGGCAGTGACTATGCCATCTTATGGTTCCTTTAAATGCTCCACATTCCTGCCTCGGGGTCTTTGCACATGTTGTTTTCTCTATCCCACCCCTTTGCACTCTTCACTTCTTCTCTTCCTTAAGATCTTAAACATCACCTTTCTGAGGTGCCTTACTGAAAATAGCTACCCTCAGTCACGATAGAGAACAAATCTTTTTTATTTAAGAAAATGAATAGCATGATCTATTTAAGATGATCTTGGTTTTGATTTTATTTTCTTGATAATGGTCTGTCTCCCTAATAATTTAGAAGATCTATGAGGACAGGGATGGGTCATTCTGGTCACTGCTGAGTTCCCAACATTTAGGACAGGAGCTGACATAGCACAAAACAAAGTCAGGAATGTATGAGCAAACCCAGTGCAGTGCTGGCTAAGAGCAGTGCTCAGAAAATAAGCATCAGGCTCATAAAAGGGGCTCACATCTGCAATCCTAGCACTCTGGGAGGCTGAGGAGGGTAGATTGCTTAAGCTTAGTAGTTCGAGACCAGCCTGACCAAGAGTGAGACCTAGCTCTACTAAAAGTAGAAAAACTAGCTGGGTGTTGTGGCTGGCACCTGTAGTCCCAGCTACTTGAGAAGCTGAGGCAAGTGGACTGCTCAAGCCCAGGTGTTTGAGGTTACTGTGAGCTATGACACCACGGCACTCTACTCAGGGCAACAGAGTCTCAAAAAAAAAAAAAAATTGGCAGCTTCCGTAGCTCACTGGGTAGAGCGGTGGCCACATACAATGAAGGTGGAGTATTTGAACCTGGCCTGGACCAGCTAAAAAACAACAATGGCAACTGCAACAAAAAAAAAAATAGCCAGGCACTGTGGTGGGCGCCTGCAGTCTCAGCTACTTGGGAGGCCGAGCAAGAAAATTGCTTAAGCCTAAGAGTTTGAGGCTGCTGTGAACTGTGGTGCCATGGCACTCAACCCAGGGCAACAGCTTGAGACAAGAAAGAAAGAAAAAAAGGAAGGAGAGAGAGAAAGAAAGAAAACATGCATCCCACCTTCCCTGGCACGTACAGCTGTGGAAGAAGAAAATAAGTTTATTTATCCCTCCCGAGCAAGGGAGTTGCCAAGGCTAAGTGACACCCCAGAATCCTCCAGTGTGCCCCAAGGCTGAGACACAGATGAGCTGGTCCCTGGGCTTCAGGAACCAGAGAAACGGATGATTCTGCCTGCCTCCCATCTAGCCTCTGCCTAGAGGAGATATTTTTTTGACACTCATGAGTTCAGATCAAAAGGGATTTCCAAGAAAGCTGCTGGAGGCTGGGCACTGTGGCTCAAGCTTATAATCCCAGCACTCTGGGAGGCCGAGATAGGTGGATCACTGGAGCTCAGGAGTTCAAGACCAGCCTGTGGCTCAAGCGGCTATGGCGCCAGCCACATACACCTAAGGTGGC